GCTCGCTTTCCAAATATTGTTAGAGAAATGAAGCATAGCTCTGTCACTCAAATGTACTGTTCAGACCTGTTCAGATCAAACCTTCAGAACGGCTGTGAATGTTGTTAAATAATATTCTGGGTTTTTCAAACACTTGCTTATGTTTTCCTCACTGCCAGTGCTGGAATCTCAGATAACCTCTTAACGCACAACAATAAATCCTCCTTAATGACAGGAAAATAAGAAGAATGTCGCCAGCAGCTGCAGATGTGACTATAATCTTATTTTTCTTCTGTCTGCACCCAGACGAGCAGATCTGGCACTGACGCTCGGCACCTCCTTGCAGATCAAACCCAGTGGAGACCTTCCACTCCTCACCAAGCGGAAAGGAGGGAAATTGGCCATTGTCAACCTGCAGCCCACAAAACACGTAAGTCTCATTCCTGCACCGCCACCCGACACATATGTGTGGAAACATGCTATGAAAATTGAAATACTGTGTACTAATTAAAGGCAAAATTGTGGTTAAATATGCTGCTCATGTTCTTTGTCCGGCATCTTTAGGTTCATCATTTCACTCTTGTAATTTTCTGTCTTGCAGGACAAGCACGCATACCTGCGTATCAACAGTTACGTGGACGAGGTGATGAAACAGCTGATGGAGTTGCTGGGATTGGACATCCCAAAGTGGGAAGGTCCGACTCTCTGTGAGAGCTCCACAGCCACGTCCGAGTCCACCACTGATGTCAAACCAAAGGTTAAAAAGGACCTCATTAAGGAGGAGAGGAAAAGAGACGCAACGGCACTAACAGACAGCGGGAGTGTTAAGGAGGAGACGGTTTCGGTAAAGAGAGAAAGAGCTGACTCCCCAGTGGAGTTAAATGATGAAAAATAGCCTCAGGTATTTTTTTTTTTTTTCAACTTCACAACACAAATCCGTCCAGAAACAAACTTTACAGCTGAGGTTGCTCGGTTTGATCAATTTCACAGAGGATAGAGGTTCTTCTCATCTTCCACCCTCTGAAGCGAAGACTCTTCTAGTACTGTAGTGGTTTTCTTAATCCAGATTTCTTACACTCCCCTTACAGCCACAATGAACTATGATGTTTAACTAACTCCTCCGCTGAAGTTGACCTCATTAAGCAAAATTATCTAAGTGATCCAGGTGTCCCGGGTAAGAAGAGGACACAGCTTTAGGTAGGTGTTTGATTGGGAATCTTTTCTAATTTCTGGTCAGACAACCATCATCCAACTTGTGGCTTTGCTTCATTTGGAGGACCAGTCTTTAACAGACAAGACAACGGGTTGAGATCTGGAGCACACGGTTATAAATAAAGCTTTTAATAAGGTGAGTAAGCTGCACCTTATTATCATTATTAAAAGCTTTATTTATAACTGCTTGCTCCAGATCTCATCCCTACAGATCTAGCCTTTAAAAACACCTTGGGTCGATACTTCACAAGAAGAGTCTGACTGACTAGTAGCCTCATACAGCTGCGGGGCATTTTAGGTAAAGCCTGTGTTTCCTAAACAAGCTGTTATCTTGGCCGTTATTATGTTGCATTATAAAACAATTTTACAGCAATGTTTTTTTGTTTTTTACCCGCACCAATTAGAATTGCAGATTTTCTCCACAATGGCCAATCTGCTTCTCTCATTGTACAAAAGATCTCTCTTCCTCCAGCAAGATGTGTAATTCTACCTATTTTTACGCGTAAGTGCAGCACCTGCTGCTGATGACAGTAATAGGACCGTAATCACGCTGTACGTTTCTCGGAAAAGGTTTTTATTTCAGGAAAAAAGCATTGTACTGATAGAAAAATTCCCTTTACTGTTTTTTTATATATATACATATGTATTTACAATAAACACAATAGGTTCCTGGTAGAACCTCCTGTGTATTTGTGCTTTATGTAATGTCTAACAGCAGTGACCTAGTTGCAAATGTGAACCAACGTTTGTTCATTTGATGCCATGAAAGAATCGATGTCAATGGCCCAAAGACCCTCCTTCTGTTGTACCATTAAAATACGTACAAAACAAAATCCATCCTTAGGTGCTGTTGGGTTTTCTTGTTTTTAAAGCAAGAAGACTGGAGAATGGGTCACAGGTGTTTGTATTACTGCAGTGAACATTACGCTGTGTGTCTGACATTGAATATGCCTCAGTCCATTAAGGCACTTTGTCTCTCCAAATATAAGCAACTGACATTACAGCCAGCAAACGCAGCAGCTGCAACTCAAACACATTCAGTCCAGCTGCCTGTTCTGTGAACGGGTCATTACACAGTCCTCATTACTGCTCTTATCTTCTCCGTCTATACGTCAGTTTGGTTTTTATAGTGTCTGTTCTACGCTGCCTGTTGGAGTCTAAACCCAACGGCAGGTGGGTACGTTGAAGTGTGTGTGTGACACCCAGATGAGGCAGAGCTGTTTTTTGTTTTTTTTATTTAATTTGCGAATTTTGAGATATGAATGTAAAACAAGAAAATTCACCTAAAGGATGCACATAACAGGGCTAGGAGAAGAAAGAAAAAAAAGAACAAATGCAGTTTATATAGCCTTGTTAAAGTTGTTTCCTTTCCAGGCAGCTTGTGCTGTCCTCCCTGCCTCAGGTGTGATCATGTGGCCCCTTGATGGGGACTTCTCACGGTACTAATGAGCTAAATGTTCTCAAAGTGCCCTTTGAATGTACTCAGCCCATTATTTTGTGGTGTTGTATCTCAGGTGGGGTGATATATATATATAGGATATATATATATATATATATATATATACACTGTAGAATATCTTTAGGCAAATGATTCCCCCCTTTAAAATCTAAGGTTTCTAGAGTTTAGAGTTTGTTAGGTCGGCAGTGAGAGAGGTCAGAGGAGAATAGAGACTGGTTCAAGCCAGCAGGAAAGGAAACAGAATCTCAAATATGTGTAACATCTTACGACAGTGCTTGGCAGAAGAGCATCTCTTAGCACTCAGCAGACGACCGCACCAGGAGATTCACCAGGAGCTTGAACGTGGAGCCGACAAATCTGAAATGTTTCCAGCACCTTGTTAAAGCCATGCCATAAAGAATTCAGGCTGTTTTGGGGTCAAAATGGGGGTTCAGCCCCTTATTAGAAAAGCGTAGTTAATAAAGTGGCCACTTCTCCTCTAAAGGTCTCCTTAAACTTGATGTATGTCCAGCGGACACTTCTATCTGAATCTAAATTACAGCGCATACCGTCTCTCCCTGAAAGGTCTAATGGATGACAGTGCAGTTCAGAGCCGTATACTCTAAGGAGCCGTCACGACTCAGAATAGCGAGGAGGCACAGAACTGAAGAACAGCATCAAATGATTTCCAATGCGTTAGTGTTTCACAGGCTCCATCATTAGAAACTGGAAACTTTATATAGCACCAGACAGACTCTTCCTGCAGCTGCTCATCCTCCCAACCTCAGTGAGAAGGACCTTGGTCAGAGAACCCACATCAGAGCCCCTTTGGCCGCGAAGGCTGATCTTTCTGGAAGGAGAACAGTCGGTGCAGCACATCATAAGTCTGTGCTCCGTGACAGCGTGGCCATAAGGAGCCAGTCAGTGACAGCATGACTTGAGTTGGCACAAAGAGAGCAGAAGACTGTGCATCAAAGATTTTGTGGTTTGATGAAGCCAGGATCAAACTCCTCAGTTGTAATTCAAAGTGTTAAGTCTGGAGGAAAGCAGACGCAGCTCATCAAGCATTTAACATGAGCCCTGCTGTGAAGTACCCCGGTGGCAGCTGCATGCTGTGTGAGAGAGTTTCTCTGGCAGTTACTGGGACGCTTTTAAAGAGAGGGAGAACAATGAATGGAGCTAACGAGGTCGGACCAACCTGCTATGCAGAGTTAAAGACCTTCAAGATTGAGATGAGTTTATGCTCCGGCATGGCTGTCACACCAAACCACTACAAGGAAATCATTCAGTGAATCAGGGACCATAGTGTAGAGTCCTTGAATCTCATTAGAGAAATGTTTTCGGAATGACATGACGACTGTTTGTTTACAGATGCTCCTCATTCGGCACAAGCGAGCTCGAGCAAGTCCCTGAGGAAGAAACCTGAATCACTGTCAAGGGTGTTGTACTGCAAATGGGATAAAAATGGAGAGCAGAGGCAGGAACAGACTGAAAAAAAGAAAAGGAAAACACTTTTGAATAGTTTATACATAAAATGAATGTCTCAATATTGAAAACACATTATTTCTCCTTAAAAAATGCTGTTTTCTAAACAAACCTATTGAGTCGTGCATATTTCAGCAATCATTCTTAAAGAGAACATTTTCTCTGAATATAATCTAATTTTGTGAAAGAAAAAAGCTTTCTCTTATGTTTGTTATGTATCAATTTCACTGAATTGCCCCATAATTTTGCTTCAGGAATTAAAAAAATTTAATCCTATCCTTTAAGATGAGTGCAATAAACCAAAAAAACAAGGCTTCATGTCCAAACTCACAACAACCTAAAGGAGTTCAGAAAGGTAGCATAAGCCAGAAGAGACCATTATGGATGAGGTGGAGCGCAAAAAAAGAAGAAAGGAAAATAATTTGCTGCAATTTACTCGTAAATGGAAAGTAAGATGTTCAAAAAGTCTTTTAATTGAGCTGTTACTGCTAAGTGGAGATGAGTTGAAGCCTCCTTGAAAGAAGAACATGACCTTGGATGTGCTCTTTGAAGACACTTGCATTTTAATTGTAATATGCCTGAGTCATGTGTTTCACAAGCTCTGAAATATCACTAATAACTGCATTCATATTCACTACAGTTCCTAATGGAGATTATTCTCTTGAGAGAGGCATGTTTTTCTTCTTCCTGCTTGTGCTGCAACACAATGTGAATTATAGTGCAGCGTAAATGCTCAAGACATTTCGCTTAAATTGCAGTAAATGTTTTTGTTTGTAACGTAATTGTAATACCTAAGGTCAATGCATACATTTATCTGTGTTACCTAAAAAATATAATCTATATAATTTATATCTACAAATTTCAGGAAGTTATGTTACAGAAAGAATAAAGCAGCAATTGCAGACATATAAAATGAAGAAAGAATTGTTGATGGTTGGGTGTAAGGTTTGATTCCTGGAAAAGGAGAATAGATCTGTGTGGGGGAAATGTTAGCAATGCTTGCCTCTTATAGCGGTGGCTTGAGCAGTTAAATAGTTAAATAGACAACAAAGACGGTTTTGGTGAGTTTGTTTGTTTTGTGAATGAAGTCTGGAAGGCCATAGCGATATAACAGCTGTTTCTAATCAAACAGAAGGGGTTTTACTCTTTAACAAAAAGGTCTGTCTCTGTAGGGATCCTCTCCACAATGATGTCAGACACAATAACAATCTGATCCTGTCAGTGCCAAAAACAAGCACTTTTAATGGAAGTACTTTGTGTGTTTGCATTTATTTTCTCAGACGAAGCAGCCTACTGCTCTGACTGTATTTCAGCTTGTGAACAGAACATGAACAAATTGTATTGTGGTTGGCGTTTGGATATCAAATGCAATCAAAGCTCTTAACTCCCATTTGAATCCACATGTTCTCTCAAAGAGATACAAATTTTATAGTACAGTCAGAAAAGTCCCTGCACATAAAAATATCTACTTGTGTATTTAAGAATAGACTTTTATTCAGCAGTATCAATTGTGCCTTTTTTTTCAAACAGCGTTGCATTCTGGGATGTAAGGATGTGTCATGACTTCACTGCGTCCTTCGCATGTCGCCTCCAAGTGTGATTGACTGCAACCCTTTTCTGTGCCTTTATACACATTCCAGCTCGTCTCATCATAAAAGTAAACATCTTGAGCCTGTAATTGCTTTAAACCACTGATCCATGCTGGCCCTACACGGATGTATAGGGACGGTACTCGGATGCATTTTCTCAAGTGGTTTTCATCAGTGGGAAATTGTTCCCTGTACTTGAAGATGACAAGCTGGGCACACTCGCTGGTACTTGTCAAGTGTTGCTTGTTTTTCTGCGAAGCGGCTCCCAAAATGGAAGAAGGCCATGTGGGTGTGAGTGGATGGACTGTAGTAGCTCTGGCAATTGTTTAGAGCTTGATGAGAAAACAGTCAAATTATGAAGCAAGCTCATCTAAAGGAAAGACAATAACGGGTGTTGGCAACAGAAGACTTTCTTGTGTTGGGCAGCAATCACACGTTTGATTGTTTTTTTTCACAGCTGGAAGGTGCAGGGTCCCTGGGTGACCTGCTGGCTTTTTTTAAGCGGCATCATGGCCTCCCACACAGACCTGCTCAATAAATCTGTGATTCTGATTGGAGAAGTAATTACTACCAGACTGGCACACAATGGAGGGACTGTGTTGGGGTGTGTGTGGTATTTGCATGTCAGCCCCTAGGCCTATCTGCGGGCAGCTCAAGATGGTTATCAATGTTCAAACTTTAAAGGTTGCAAAAGGGTAAAAACGTGGAGCAGCTTTTGTGCGGCTGACTCATTTTGCTCGTCTTCGCGGTTTTGTGACTGCGGTGACTGCAGATGAGATTAACTTTCCAGAGACGTCCCTGAACTCTTTTGTCCTCTCGTTTTTATTTAATGTCACATTACATACGTGTAATCACAAAACAGTTCACAGCTGTACAGCAAGGTAGACACCGAGAGACATGAAAATGGGCGATAGATTCATGCTATGGTCAAACACTCCCTACTCTGAATGACATATGCTGGAGTTAAGTTTTACTGCATATGAAGAGTAATGTGAGGGAGGTTCTAGTCTCCTGACTGAGTTAGCAACAAAAATACAAATAAATATTAAACACATCCAACCTAATGGAAATTGAACAAGCTTATAGTACCCCTGATTGCCTGTGTGGGTGTCAGTACAAAAATCACTTTACATGTTAAACTATTCAAACATCGCACTGTAGTTTTGCTTGATTGTGCAAAAAATAAATAATCAGCCCACATTGTAACTCAGACCTGGCTCATTCAAGGGTTTGATCCTCTTCAACAATGTACTTGTAAAGAGCATATTTTGGCAAGATGGTTTTTCACAAAAGGGTATAATAAAGATAAAAGATAACTGTTCAGGTTTGTCTGCAATAGATGAGTGTGTGTGTTTGTGTTCAGTAGATTTGGAGCGATGACAGTAATACAGTAATATTGTTTAAAAAAATGGCACCTGCTGATGCTCTTTCATGCTAGGAGATGAGATGATAGATTCCACTCTCATTTCTGTCTGCTAAATATGAATCTACAGCCAACGGTTGGCTAATTTAGCTTAGACAGGTAACGGCTAGCTTTGAGGTACCATGCCTTTGTTCTGACCACCCGTTGTTCTGAAAAAAAAATGGCCATTGCTCAGAAGGCCCTTTGTTATGAAAATACACACTCACTGTATGTGGTATCACTAACTTATGTATGTAACTTAACTTACGTAACTAACACACTTAGTTTAACCCAAACCATGATCTTAAACCTAAATGGATAGTTTTGTTGCCTAAAACCAAACTGTGACCGTTGTGTTTATTGTTCTGACCATGAAGACATGAAGGTCACCTGACAATTGTTACCATGACGACAAAGGTCACCTGATGAAGGTCATTGACACACACAGACTGACTTTGTCCTCTCCTGCATGTCCAAATAAACAAAGAGAAAGGGCAAAAAACTCCAGGGAGTGTATTTTCAGAATAACAGGCCTTCAGAGCAGTGGACTTGTTTTCGGGCCGTCAGACAAATGGGGTTTCAGTCCAATGGGACATTTTTCAGACTATTGGGGTTTCAGATTAATGGGCTGTACCCCCGGCTCAAAGAAACAAAATCTGCCTATCTGCACCTCTAAAGCTCATTAATGAAACCATGTATCTTTTTAAATCTGTACCAAAGCCAACCCATTACCCGGCAAATAGCTGAGACTTTAGGAAGTTACTCAGAGCAAAGAAATATTCCCCGCCAAAAAATGGCAATTTGTCATTTTCTCACTTCTTTGTACAGATTAAACAAATGAGATACAATGTGTTTATTAGTGCCAGTAGGCAGATCTAGTTACATTTTAGCTGGAGCCAGACCAGCTGTTTCCCCCTGTTTTCAGTCATTGTGCTAAGCTAAGCTATCCTGTTACTGGCTGTAGCTTATACGTATAAACATGAGAGTGTATTAATCTTCTCATTTACTCTCAGCAAGAAACTCAATAACTGCATTTCCTAAAATGTCAAACTTTTCCTTTTACAGGGTAAATCACATATTGATGTCTTTGTTTATCATGACCAGGCTGGCTGGTGCTTCCTGCACTCTCCTCCCTCGCAGAGCCAGAGTGAGAACATTTTGGACGGAGTGAGACACTCTCAAGAGAAGCGCCTTCAGTCCAGCTCTGTATTCTTTTCGGATCAGGCAGTAGAGCACCGGGTTGAGACAGCTGTTTGCATGAGCTAAACACACAGTCAGGGGGAAGGCATAGGCCTGAGCGTTGTAGAAGGCTTTACTGAAGGGTACCAAGTCAAATTTGATCAGCACTCCCCAGAGGGTCAGAGCCTGGTTGGGCAGCCAGCAGATGAAGAACGACAGAACCACGATGGTGACGGAGCGGGTGACTTTGGAGCGGCGGCGGTGGCGTCCTCTCTCAGACTCTGACCTCTCTGTGACACTGCTGCTGACCATGCTGCCCACGATGCGCCGGCTCAGAATGAACCTCAGGAGGAGGAGGTAGCACACAGAGATCACAATCAGGGGAACTACAAATCCCAGGAGGACTTTCTGTGTTTGATAGAGTCCAAGCAGGACTTGAGGATCCCAGTGGTCGGAATCGGAGTCAGAGAACCGCACTAAGCACAACTCATCGTCTGTAGACACCTGTAAACACAACGTAAGAGGTTGGTCACCCAAACAGAAAACATGTACTGTAAGCAGATCAAATCAGGGATGGTAGTTCAGACGGGAGCATATCTATGTTCCCACTGTCCTAAGTTCCCTAATCCTAGAACTGAGGGAACATACATAGCACCTTGGAAACCATGTCATGTTCCCACAGACCAGTGTCAGGTTGGTGCTATTGTGCATGTTGGCTTACTGGGAAGGTTCTGTTACACTAAATGGAACGGACCCTTCACTAGTATCAATGGTGTTCATGTGGTCATGTCAAAATGGCTGCTGTGAAAAAGTTCTATTATGTGCCATATAAATCTGAGCAACAAAGGACCGTGTGAACTTAGGAAGGCCCCTGTTCAGTCTCATTTCAACAAACCTGCACTGTGGTGGAGTAGAAAGCATGGGGCAGCGTAGCCACCAGTGACACTACCCAAATGGCTAAACTGGCCCATTTTGCACGAGCAGTGGCGATCCTAGGGCTCTCCATCTTCAGAGAGGTAACCAAGGAGCGGTACCGGGTCACGCTCATGGCGGTGAGGAAGAAGACGCTGGCATACATGTTCAGGGTGGTGACCGAGCTCACGATCTTACACATGACCCAGCCAAAGGGCCAGCGGAAATCCATCACCGTGTCCACGGCCCAGAAGGGCAAAGTCAGGACAAACTGGAGGTCTGTCAGTGCCAGGCTCATCACAAAGCAGTCGACAGAAGAGTGGTGGTGGCCCCGGCGGCGGGAGTGGAGCAGGAAGAGTGCCAGGAGGTTACCCACAAGCCCCAGAACGCAAACCACCAGGTAGATCAGCGCGATGAGAACTCGCACCTGTCAAACACATTCAATAAAATGTTCTTATTTTGTGTTTAGTGCAAACAGGATTCATCTTGGAGGTGCTAAGTGATCACACATGGAAACTGAAGCAAAAACACAACACCACCAATCACTTTCTTTCAGCATATGTCGAGGGGATTCATGCAAAATGTGTTGACAGACTCATTTATTCATTTTATCCATCTGGATGTGTAAAGAAAGAAAAAAACAAGGAAAGGTAAATCCTTGAATAAACCTACTGCCAGGTTTGCGCTGTCTCCATGCAGGTCCAGAGAGGACTCCTTGGAGAGGATGTGAAGCCAGCAGTTAAGTGAAAGGTTAAAAGCTCCGAGGTTGGAGGCTGCTCCTGTTGGGCTGACAAGTTTGAAGATTTCGCGTTCGTTCTCTTCTCCTCCGCAGACGCTCAGAGCGGTCAGGGGTCCGGATGCGCTGCTGTTGCTTTGCATGATTCTGCAGAGGAAAGGGCGACTTTCTTTGTTCTTTTTTTTTTTTTCCCTTTCTCTTTCAGGCTAACTTCCAGACTGTAGGTGCGCAGATGTGGTTTCAAAAATGTCCATCGTCCTTGTCTTGCTCAAAGTCTGAGGTCTAGGTCAGAGTTGCAGGATTCATCCGAGTGTGTTAAACTTAAACGCATCTCTGTTCGCATTTTACTGTTTTACAATAAGTAAATAATAGGTCTATATGAGAATAAAAAATAAAAAAAGCAGATTAATCCGTGTCAGCCTACTTAGGAGCCTCCAGGTTGAGATGTGTAGCACTGCAGCTGCCTCTCTTGTCAGTGATGCTGACAGCGTCCTGAAACTCGAGGCTTTTATACTCTCCGAGGCTCTCCTCCACCGCTCGATGGCGCACACATGGTGGATGCCGTATGCTGTATTACTATACTGTTAGGATTATTACAGCAGATAGTCTACCGGACAGTAAGGAAGCTCCACTAACTTCAATTCTGGTTTTAAACTCTAAACAAGCAGATATTTTGAATAGGTTTTTTTTTTTATCTGCGCAGGACATGATGATTAATGTGGAGAACAAACAGGGAGAGGCTTGTGTTGTGTTGTATGGTGGGAACACTTATTTAGTTGTTTGATACAAAAGAGTCGGTGTATAGTCTTTAGTCTATAGCTATTAGGTGAATGGATTGCTGGCCTTTAAAAAATAATAGTAGTTCAGAAAACGTGTATTTAAGACCGTGTTTCTGCTTTCTTTTAATTAAAACGGCGTTGCAGACTATATTAGGTCTGTAGTCACTCACTAATACATAATCATTGTTTGGTATCCCCCCCTCCTTGATGGAGCCAGCTAATCACGACCTGTGATGTTATGTCCAATTATCACATTTAATATTCCTGCATATGATGTGAGGTTAAATTATACATGGTGGTATTTTCAGAAAGGTTTCCTCAGCCTACAAGGGTTTGTTCACACGCATCTGAAATGATGCACATCAGAGGAATGATAAAATAGATTTCAAACAGCTTTCAGTCTGTGTGTGTGTGTGTGTGTGTGAGTGAGAGAGAGAGAGAGAGAGAGAGAGATGTGTGTTTTTGATTTGCATTTCTTATAGGTCACACAATGCATTGCTTTGACCAGCTGTGTGTGCATTAGAGAGAAAGGAAAGAGGAGGCGAAGGCTAGAAAATAATTTTTCAAGTCATTTTCTCAATGTACTTTTGAGGTACCTGGTAGATACTTTTTACAGATTTATACAAAATGATGTATTATTATTGATTAAGCTACCCTGCAGTGTATAAAGTAGTTAGAATGAGCTCCACCTTTAAGGGGAAGCTGAATAAGATTAACTATTTAACCTGTTTTCACACACGGCTTATAGACATGCAAGTGATGGGCTGCCACGTAGCCACGCCCTGGTTGCCGTTACAGGTTTGGTGCCTTGCTCAAGGGCCCCTTAGCAGTGCCCAGTCCACACTCCATACTGTGGTCCATGCTGGACTCTATCCAGAGACCCTCTGGGTCCCAAGCCAAGTCCCTACGGATTGAGCTCCTGCCACCCCCCAATGTTAATTAATGTTACTAACATTATTAACTTTTTACACCACTGCTGGACAGACTAGACTGGATTTACTGCAAATATGTGACTTATAAAACAATTCACTCAAAATCCTTAATCTGCATTTTTCCAACTGTGGAAAGTCTGACAGGTCCCTAAGCAAACTGCAATGCCTCATCAGTTTGCTACAAGGCTTTTTATTGTCATCCCTGTTTCTTTGTCTAGTTTCAGAAGCAGCCAGATGAAAAGGACACTAATATGTTGACAGTTCTTTTTTTCCCTTTATTGTTTTACCAATATTGAGATGGATGGGAATGCAGATATGGTTGGAGTCCAACCCTGAAGCTCTGTGTGAAGCTGTCTATTTGCATTCTGTTGAAGTTTCAAAATATGTCTAATTTAATTTTCTTCCATCTGTGTTTCTCTCGGTACTTAGGAAAAGAAAGGATATGGGAATACTGTCATTGATGATGTCAGAGCATCTAAGTGATTTGAACTCTCATGCTGAACGGCTCCCCACGCTCTTCATACAACCAATGTTATTACTAGAAATTACAAAGTGTGGGAAAATTTTTTAAGAAATTCCGAAAAGGAAAAGAAATAATCTTTAAATATCTCAAATATCCTCTATATCCAGAATCTTCCCACCCAAGGTCAGGTCCCCCGAGGGGAAATTTGTCTTGGGGTTGCCTTCACAGAAACAAGCATACCTCAACAACACACCATCAAAAAACAATTACAAAATCAAACATCTCAAAACATGGAAGACACTACATTTTAACACTGACAACGTGGCATCTTAAAAAGAGACCTAAAGAAACTATAAGAATTAAATTGCTATGGTGCTGGTTTGTTTATTGCACATTGCCCTATTGCACCGATTGCATTGATTTAGTATTGGAGTTCAGCAGCTTGATAGAAGTCGGGACGAAATATATCTTCAGTCTATTTGATTTGCACTTTGGCACACAGAGTCTTCTTCCTGATGGTTGTACACTAGTAATACCATATAAAAGGAATAATGGCATGTCAAAGTGCACTGGCTCATGATTTGAGAATTAAATATTTTTCTTCTTCTTTTCTCAAAAATTAATGAAACCAAAAATGAATAAACTCAGCTTCCAAGAACATCTGAATTAATAATCTTTTCCTCCTGTGGTCTGTTTTTTACCCTTCAGGTAGCAATGCCTTCGCTCAACTCTGACATGATTGATATTCTGATATTCAGAGTTTCTACATATCGTATAACCCTTTCTTACACTACCACAACACGGTGCTTAAAGCAGTCTAATGGATAATTCATGTGAATAGTGGTTTGGGTTTGCTGAAATAATTTGGTTTTTAAATTGTAAAGTTTTTGTCCACCTCCTCAGTTCTAGTAGCAGCTTGAACAAACGGCAATCAGAGAGAACTGTTAAATGTAAATGACACCTATTCTGCAAATAAAGCTGCAGCCTGGATTTTAGAACGGAGGTCATTTACCCAAAAGAACCCCACCCCCATAAGGCATTTTTGATTAAACTAGAACTTTCAGAGTATAAAATAAAATCACAAAATGTAATATTCTAGTTATACATTTAACTGCTGTATTATATTTTCAGCCAGTGTTCATTTCTGACAGGGGAAATGGCCCTTACTCAACCCCTCACGCTTTAGTAATTTATAGTCATGTAAAATATTTTGTTATATAGTCAGGAGGTGTATTCTCAGCAGCACAGACACTACTGAATGATCATAGAAGCATTCTAAGAATATTATATAGGAAAGCTACTTTATAGAGCATATAGACTACAATATAGTACAATATAGTATTTGAAGTATATAGTGTAGATCATATTATAGATCCAAGATGACAGAAGGGTGGGACTGAGAGAAAAATATGCAATTACTGAATCTGTCTGTCTGCTACCACAGACAGCACCAAAGATTTATTAATATATTGCATAGGCTACTGATATTTCAGAGCCATGGTCAGGCCCACAGGTTCTAACTTGCACAACACAGAAGTCAGGATCAATGAGTCAGACAGCCTAGAAAAACATGTTCAACCCAGGGTGCCTGGGTAGCTCACCTGGTAGAGCTGACACCCTCCCTACCAAAGGCTGAATCCTTGCTGCAGCAGCCACGGGTCTGACTCCGACCTGTGGCCCCTCTCTCCCCACCCGGGAAGGTGGCCCTCCTGGCTGTGAGACTTTTTCCCGGAAGGTTGCAACATCCCTAGAAGAATCAAATGAATCTTGAGATTGCAATGCATTCGTTGATGCCAAACATGTCAAGCTAACTTACTGGGAAAGGGGCTAAATATCGCTCCAAAGTTGACCTGTCTTTACCACGAGGTCTGCGACACCTCAGTGTCAAATAAACTGACCTTGTCTTACATCCAATGTAACAAATGATGGATGTGCCTCTGCTCCACTCTCTGAGGCTGTTTATGAAACTAAGGGCCATGTGTTTCATGGTGCTAACAATGTTGATAGATATAATTTCATATGACATTATAGCTATGATGCTGATTAATTAATGTTATACAATGCAAATATTTTTCAGCTAGATTCCCTGTTGACTGCATTCAATCTAAACAACTGCTGATATTAGTTTAAACCAACTGTGTTAGTGCTCGCCTTTCTCTTGAAAGAAATTAGTCAAAAGCCGTTTTCCCTCAGTTTGTCTTTTTCTTTCCTTTCTTTTTTAATTTTTTGGTAGCCTGATTTACTCACTGGTCACTCAAACAATATAAATCTCACAGTGGTAATTGTTTTTGCAGACCAAGCACTTTTACTTTGATAGTTTTAGTACATTAAGCGGCTAATACTTGAATGAAGGACTTTTACTTTTAAATGAGTATTTTTTGTATTTCTGTAATATTGGTCCTTTTTACTTAATTAAAGGATCTTAATTCTTTCACTATTGATATTCAGTGCTTTAAGCAGTGGCAGTTCCTGTACTGTAAATGTCCAATCACAATTGTTGAGCCAAGATAGATTATGCAGAGAGAATATTAGATGATGAAATAATTCATGAACGTGAAATAATTTAATTTGCTCTCAGGCAAAATTGTGAGTTTTCCCACAAGAAGCATCCAAGAAAAAAATACTATTATAACTTATCTCAAGACCTGTTTTGAGAGGCTCTATACTGGTCATCTTTGGAGTGTGAAGCATCACACTGTATTTTTAACTCTTTATGATCAGCAGTCACCAGTTTACCACTGACCCAGGACCTTGACACTTGACAGCCCCTCTTAAAAACACTTTTATGACCTTCTATTATTGATTTTATTAGGAACCGGTTAAAAAGGAGGGGGTCCCAGTCTGACATGTGTCTCTATCTGAGAATAACTGCGGCCCTCGGACACCTGGGACCTCAGCATGTGGCATTTCACTGTCAGATCAATAGATCATTTCACAAAGGCCCATGTGGCTCCTCAGGGCCCCATCTCCACGGCACGTTTCAGGCCTGCAGTGCATGGCTATTCTGAGGGAACGCACAGCTGCTGTTAGCTTCACCTGTCACACTGTCAATACACACACTTGACACCTCAATTTACAGATGGGTGTTGAGAGAGAGAGAGAGAGA